GCTCTGCCCCGGCTCCCCGCCAGCCCCGCGAACCCCCGTCCCCTCACTCGTCCTCCCCGGACTCAGGCGTGCGCTTAACCCCTCGGGGCTGCCACCCTCCCGCGTCCGGACCCGCTCCCCCTTCGCGGCCCCGCCACCGCAAAACGTAGCCCCGGCAAAAACTTGGGGTTCGCCCTGGGTGTCCCGAGCCCTGCCCTCCTCCCGGGTGTTGAAGCTCATCGTTCTGTTCGCCAGGTAGGCGGACCGGCAGAACCCAGCGATGATAATACTAATGACGTTAGCCACTTCAGGTACCAAAAGCTTGCAATAAGTTGCTTTGCAGTTGAAATGGTCAGCTGCTTGCCCTGTTTTTGGACCATTTTAACGTAAACGAGAAGAAGAAAGGTGTTATATGAGGATGGGAATGCGACATTATTCACAAGGAAGCCATCGCTTTTCTGGTGCCGATCTCAGCATTAAACAAATGCGTGTTTCCTAATGGCCACCGAACGAGTGCGTGATTGCAGTTGTGCTCTGGCTTCCAACCAGGCTGCGCCAGCCGCAGTCCAGCAGTGGTACTCGGGACCCATATGCCCCAATCTTTCCCCCTCCCGTGCCTGGAAATGCACCCCCCAGATGACCAAAACGAAGGCTTCCCCATCACATGGCATGAATGAACACCCAAAATTTTGGTCATGGGAGAAACACTTTTCCACAATCAGACCTACACACATCCCATCACATCATCCCATTGGCCAGCACCAGTGCAAACTCGCATCATGTGAGCAGACACGTGCCTATCAGAGGATGGGGTGCATGCTTTTTGGGCACGTAACTCACACGTTTGGTCAAGTCTTGGAGCAGCTTCAAGGCCTCAGCAAAGAGGTCAGTAGGAGGACAGACCTTTGAGGTCTGAAGGGCTGAAAGAGAACAGTGAGGGGGGGGATTACATGGGTTTCATGGAGGATGGGGGTCTATGAGTTCTTACTGGACTCTATCAAATGGGATTTTGTCACAGCCATGTCAAACATGATCAAACTGTGCCCAATGTCAATTCCTCAAAAGGTACTCAGGGAAGGTGTCTTGTGAGGAGGGGTGGTCAACATCATTTGAGTACCGATTGCTGGCAAATGCTAGTGGATGGATTGTGATGCTAAATCAGAACAATAAAATGATAGCACCATAGGCAAGTTGCAAAAATCTCCAGCAGGTTACCTCAAACCACAGAGTTTCACCAGCCCTCTCAACACCCTTGTCCTGGTTTCAGCTGGGATAGAGTTAACTGTCTTCCTAGTAGCTGGTACAGTGCTATGTTTTGAGTTCAGTATGTGAAGAATGTTGATAACACTGATGTTTTCAGTTGTTGCTCAGTAGTGTTTAGACTAGAGTCAAGGATTTTTCAGCTTCTCATGCCCAGCCAGGGCACCTGACCCAAACTGGCCAACAGTCTATTCCATAGCATGGGACGTCCCATCTAGTTTAGGAACTGGGAAGTGGGGGGGCAGGGATTGGCCGCTCGGGGACTGGCTGGGTGTCAGTCGGCGGGTGGTGAGCAATTGCCCTGCGCATCATTTGTACATTTCAATCCTTTTATTACTACTGTTGTCATTTTATTAGTGTTATCATTATCATTATTAGTTTCTTCTTTTTTGTTCTATTAAACCGTTCTTATCTCAACCCAGGAGTTTTACTTCTTTTCCTGATTTTCTCCCCCATCCCACTGGATGGGGGGGGAGTGAGTGAGCGGCTGCGTGGTGCTCAGTTGCTGGCTGGGGTTAAACCACGACAACCCTCCTCAAAGCTCCTACCAGAAGAATCTAGAAAGATGCTATATATATATATCTAGAAAGTAGGTACTTGTATATACTTGTTAATACAATGAGTGAAAAAAAGGGATTGTGAGAAGTATTAATTCTGTCAATAATAATTAAAGTATACAATTTATATTAAAAAGTAGCTTTAAAAGCTTATTTGCATATTCTTTGCATAGCATGCGGCTTTTCAAAGAGTGCAAATGAAAAGCTATAGCTATGAAATATTGTAACATTTCCTGAAAACTGAAAAAAAAGGGTATTTTTAAGTTGGTGCTTTTAAGAATTTCCATTTTTGAATACTGTTGAGGGACTACTTGCCATTTAACCATCTTAAGGACTTTTACTGGCAAGTGTATATTGACTGGCAAAATAATGAAGGGCTGGTTTTAAGATCTAATGTAGCTTTAAATCACCTATCTGGAAAAATTAATGGCCTGCATATTCCTGCATAGTAAGTTGTATTGTGACAAGGTATCAATTTACTGTTTAATTATACACACACACACATACATATACTTTTACACACAAATACTTCTTATTCATAAGTCCTCTTCCACTCCTCAGTTCTTGCCATTGTTTCCTTACAATATCAATTCAAATCTTATCTACATTTGTATTATTCTTGAAGCCTTGATTACCACAACTTTGTCCTCAAATCCAACCAAATCATCAGTACCACAGTACAACCAAAATAATCTTCCTCCTTTACTCCCGATGGTCATTCCCACCATTCAGATTTCCTTCCAAATTCATAATAAAATAGAGCTGTAAATAAATTTTGCCTGCCCTACTTGCAAGCATAATTCATCAACACACAATTTTTGCATAGAGGAGAAGTAAGGGCAGAACTGGGCACCATGATCATCTCTTTTTGTCACTACAGCAGAACTTCTTTGGTGCAGTGCCGAGAGGTGAATTTCCAGCAGTCTCACTGTCAGCACTCAAGTCACCTCAGAAGGAGATGCAGGTGGTACTTTCTTCAGCAGAAAAAGTGAGGGCTGTTGGAAGAGGAGGAATGTTAAATTCAATCCATTTTGCAAGAAACAGAGTAGGAATGGACTTCTCAGGGAAGTGCTCGCTTCGTTACAGAAGCTAGAGTTTTCCCCCAGTTCAGACAGGTGTGTAGAGGTGGCTGCCATTTTTAGTAGTTGCATTATCTGGTTTCCCAAGGCTGTGCCTGCACCTGGAGTGCCTCAGTGCCTGGACGCTGCGGTGGCTGGAGGGGGCATGATGAAAAGCACCAAGGGCAGCCTCCAAGCCCACCTCTGGCATTAGCGGCTTTCGTGGCCTACCCTGCTGCTCCTGGTGACCCCATGAAGAGAGAAGTGTCATCTTCTCCTTTCTTTTTAAGCATCTGGCTTTTAAACAAGTGGGAAATCTAGCTGAAGTTAAAAGATAATATACCAAAGATTTCATTCTGTGTGACTGAGGACCTACAACATGGTCAATGAAGTTACCTGCCTCCAGTCCCGATGTTGCTTGGATTTAGTAGTGAGGAAATCTAGCAAAACAATAAACCAGTGCCTCCTGCAGCAAAATAGGCAGCTCTAGCAGCATATGTAGTTTTTCTCACCTCCAGGCTGTGTAGCCCTCATCTTCAGAGACCAGATGGTAGGAGTCAGCTCTGTGGGGTGGCAACGACACATGCATGAAAAACACGTAGTGCTATGATCATGAGGAAAAGATGCCTTAATACGGAACAAAGTAAACTGGAGGTTTGCTTTACTAAACTATCAAAATGTCTGAATCTATCTGGGCATTCTGGACCAAGCTGCTGTGTCAAAAGTATGTTATCTTTGACGATGAACACAACTGAGTTCTGTAGTAATCATGAAAATCTAGACCCTTTTCCCAAATTTTTGTTTTACCATGGAAAAAAGGAATCATAAGCTTCTTTCACCACTACTATCCTTACCTTTAATTATTTATTATGTAAATAATCACATAATTTCATAATCTTTGGGGCTCTATAGCAATGATTTTTCTCTGCAGCGTAACAAAGGATATGCCCCTCGAGTAGATGGTGCTTTACATGGAGTAAATCATTTACCACTGCTGGCAATCATTCACCCAGCTATCGGAGAAAACCAAGCGGCGCTGAGTGAAGGTCAGGGATCAGGTCCAGCCCAGACGGCACAGCTGGGCTCTCACGGGGACAGCTTTGAAATGGGCCGGTGGGAATCTGCAGGCTGGTTCCCAATATTGCATCTGGGCGGGGGGACATGGCGGATAACACCGTGCCAAGGGCACCCCTCTGCCCTGCAGTGGGCAGCCATGGGGCAAGGCAGGGGGGTCTCCTCAGGGCTGGGGTACCTTTCCTTTTTCCATTTTACCTGAATATGTTTTTCTAGCCTGTTTACCTCTTAGCTAAAACGATTAGGAAAAAAGCAACATCCGCAGACTGAATACCACTGTAAGTCCAATTATTTTATAATTCATGGGTGTTGTCCTTCAGCAGCGTCTTATGCTCACTTTCCTCCACGTCCAAGTGCCCTAATTCTACTTAATCTCTCTTCAGGCATCACGGTCATAATACCTAATTAGCATCACCAAAACAAGGTAGTCATTCAACCCATAAAACCGGATAGGGATGGGAGGTACTTGGTGTAACCCACAACAATTGCTCCAGTAGTATTTCCAGATCAAACTTCAATTTCCTCATGTGTACTGAAAAGCTGCCATTATCTGAATTTAAAAGAAAGCAGTTTTTT